CGACTCTTGTTTATAAGAGCTTAAACAGTAAAGAACTCTCATTCTCCTTCCACCAGCAGCCAGCTGGCTGGAAAAAAGAACACCTCAAAATAATCCTCAAGGTCAAAGGTGTCTCCTGCAGGAGAAGGCCCCTTTTCTTTGACGTGCTCTCTTGTCCACAGGCTCGCTGCCCTTCCTTGCTAATTGCAGCATCATTCAACGAGCGACACTCTGGTTCATAAACCTGCAGGGAAGCACAGCAACACGCAGAGAACTCGGTCTGGGAGCTTGTCTGGCTCTGAGAGGTTCTGCCCAGGCTTCTTCCTCCGCTCTGCTCTCATCACAGAGCAGCTCTCCATGCGGTTTGCCTCCTGGGCTGAAAGAAACATGAGGGCTGATGGTTCAAAATACGCGTGGAAATGGTTTTCGGGGATGCATGGCCAAACTGAAGCTTTTAAAACATCTGATAGGTATAGATGATATAGTCTGACAGCTCTAGATGAGGACGTTATTACTATTACATTAGAATATACCCAGTAAGTACTTCTGAAATCAGCCACTTAAGAAACCAGGTAACTTGTTAAACCATAGCGTTAACACTCCAAATCTGCCCGTGTGGCCCTGTTTATTAAATTAATTCCCTCTCTTGCTCTCAAGCTCGTATTTAGTGGACGCCGATATCAGGTCTTACGTCTGAGACCACGTGAGTGATGGAGAAGCCTTGCTAGCATTGCAGCAGAGATGAAGAAGGTGAATAAATATTCACACTTTACTGGTAGAGGAACATAAATGCTGCGTTTGGCAAGTGAATTGGGGGCTGAAATACTTTGTGTGACCCAAAATGAAGCATTTAATGCATGGGTATTTTTATATATCCATATTTCTAGCAAAACAGGTCATCTTCACACAAAATTTTCTTTTTTCTTCAATTTTTTTTTTTTTTACACGAAGTCAAAAACCATAACCAACTGCTGCTGTTCTCTCTGAATAGCTGTTTTTACCACAGATACGTGTTTTAGCATAAATACTTTGTTGTATGTCACTGTGTTCCGGGGGGCTGTGGGCTGTTCGTGGACTCAGCTTGGAAAAGCATCAGAGGGGCTGGTGCTGTGTGTAAATGAGGTGCTGCAAAAGTGCACGTGAGCTTGTTGGAAAAATTAATTATAAATAAAAATACGGAATGAAAGTCCTGCAGTTTAAGTGATTACCTTTTGTCTTGGAGCATAACTTAAGCTGGGCTAATTGCCTTTAATTGCAGCTGGTCGTGAAGCACTGAAGTTTGCCCCTGTTACCGAGGCTGTTGGCCAAAGACCTCTGAGCAGCAATCACCAACATCAGCTGCACCTGAGCCCGAGCTGCTGCCTCTGGCGTGACCTGGGCCTCTTGTGTTTGAAATCAGTTTGCTGAAGCCAGCTGAGCTGCTCTGATTTCCACCACATAAAGGCGCAGCTCAGCAGGCTTTCAGGCTCCCTGTTGCAGGAAGGTCGGAGCTTTCGCAGCCCAGCTCTTCGTGCGGGCAGGCACTCGCTCAGGGAAATGTTTCGTGCAGCCGGGAGGTGCCCAGGAGCTGCATGCACACACACAGCCACGTGCTCGAGGCTTGCAGCAGCTGCTTGAGGACAACAACAGCAACTTGCATCAGCTCCAACAACAGCGATGTGTTGGCTTTTTCATAGGGTCCCCCTCTGTTATAATTCTCTTTGTTTCCCAAGGGCTAACGGCGCCTGACAATGTTCTTTGTCAGGAGCACGTCTTTGCTATGGGATGCACGCAGTGAGGCCACGTGTCCCCTTCCAGCTGCTCCAGGGGTGCCACTTTGCCTTGGGCACATGAAGGTTTTCTCACCTAGGGTCTAAGCTCAGTGTGTGTATGCTAACACCTGCCTCAAGCAGGTGACTCTAACTGAAGTGTTTGCAAGATCACACCCTAAACATTACACCCAAACACAAAAGCTCCTAAATTAAGGAGAAAAACCTCTCCCTCGCCCACCTGCTGTCGGGGAAAGCAGCGATCTCGCAGGTGGTTAACGGGCTCTGAGCTCCAGCTGGTTCCCATTGCTCTGTGCTGCAGCACAGACCTCGCCGAGCTGCCCCACTGATCCTGGCTGTCCTGGGGCTGGCTGGCTGGCAATCCCTGGAGCTGGGAAGTTGTGTCCTGAGAGAGGCTCCTGGCTCTGAAAATAATCAAACAGTCTGAGGAAGGCGACCCAAGCTTGAAATCTGATGCAGTATTTGCCAAAAAACTGTCATGGTGAGTGGAGAAATGCCTCAAGACATTCAGTGAGATCTTGTGTTGCCGTACCCATGCGGTTTAGTCCCAGCTGGGGCTTCCCAAGGGCTGGCTTTGCTGCTGGTCAGCCACGTGCCACGCAGCCCATGCCCTGTAGTGGTGTCCCAGAGCAGAAAACCTGAAGCTAAAAAAATCTTGACACGAGTTACTCGTTAATTTTAATGGGACTTAAGTGCTGGAGTGGAGCTGGCAAGCTGGAGGTATGGGTATTAGTTGTTTTCAGAGCTACTGTGTTCACCTGCAGCAGTTACGTGCCTGGGGTTTGGGTTGGGTTGGTTGTTTTTAGAGATTTTTGCCCTCCCTAGCGGAGTGTTGAGACGAGTGTTTTTGATCCAGAGCACAGAAGGGAGCCTGGTGCGAGGGACGAGCACGGCATCACTGCTGGCTCAGCATTTGTGGTGCCTGGGAGAGGTGAGGAAGAGGAGATGGGGGAAGTTTGGGGTTCAGAGACCTATAAAAGCACACTTGGTAACACCAGTAATTCCCGCAGCAGGAGCTGTGGTTCGGATGGGAAGCACAGCAGAGCCAGGGCACTAACACCAGCCTGGTGCTGTGAAGTGGCTCAGAGCCACCCTTTGAAACAAAGCCACGATTATCATGGGCTGATTCTGACAGAAATGTAATGCCCTTAGGAAAAAAAACAACTGGGGGGGACTGGGTGGGAGCTCACACCATCCGTGTGCCAGCACAGCAGGGAGGGCCGGCAGCGTGCTGCAGATCCAGCCCTGCCCAGACCGTGCCGCGTGTCGCTCTGATCAGATTTTAGGCTTTTTTTACCTGATGATTCACCCCATTAAGTTCTTTCTGTGTGCTCAGCCTATTGCTTAACGGTAAGCAACACATAAAAACCCACCAGCTATGCAGCAAGCCGTCCTGTTTGGGAAATTATTTACCAGGCGTTGAGGTGCAGGGCTCCTGGGCGGCTGGGACCGCAGCCTTCAGCACCCACTGAGCGTGTTCAAGAGCTATCTGTGCTCAGCTCGTGCTTCCCCGTGCACACCCTGCTCTTATTTTTCCAAAAAGATGTGCCTTTAGATGTGTGGTCGAAGTAAAATGTAGGATATTTACAGACAGATGGGTGCTAGCGTGCCTGCCTGCCTCTTGCACAGGGTGAGATTTATGTGTGAGGTTTATGTTTTGGGGACTGAGAAGTGGTCTTTGGAGGTAGAAGTCCTTCGTGAGGGAGGATTTCCAGAGCTGGTTTCCCCAGGGAAGTGGTGGATGGGGCCTGGCATGGAGGTGCTCCGGCAGTGTCTCACCTAGGCCGCTCGGCCTGTGCTGGTTTTCCAGCGGGGCTCAGGGCCGCTCTCTCAGGAGCTGCAGGAACACAAAGCTCTGCTCGGTGCTGGGTTCTCGCAGGGGAAAGCTAACGGGATTACGGGGCTGAAATTTCACACAGATGGGTGCTATGCTTCACTGGGAAAGCAATCGCTATGGCTGCAAGCACTGGGAGGCTCGGGAAAGCTTTCAGAGGAGCAAACGTCTTCTGAGGCCTTGGCTTTGGGGAAGTTTTCATTAGTTTTCATTTGCTGGATGGTCTCAGTAAAGCCAGTCAGGCTGTAATTAATGCCATGTTGTTTTATACCAAGGATATTTATGTTAAGCTACAAGGGGAGTGATTATTTTGGGGGGTGAATGTAACGTGACCGCTTGGAGCAGGGCTACTCTAGGTTGGGTTTTGGAAGGCTGCAGGTGTCAGCTGGAGGTACGTGGCACGTCCTTGGCTTTAAGCTCAGCACTGGGACTCAGTTATTGGTAAAAGTGAGCCAGAATTTAACTGGAACTGGAATTTAAGGCATGGACAGGGGCTGGGCTGGGGTGGCAGCTTCAGGCGAAAGCGATTCACTGTGCCATTCTGCTTTGGGCTTGACCGATGCCATTATTTTTTAGCTGAAAAACAAAATAATGTTGTTCAGGAGTTTACCCCACTGTTTTGCAAGCTGTTGAAGCTCGCACGTAAGGTGCCGTCGCATCTTTTGTTACGACGTGAGACCTGCCAACGTCTTGACACTAACTCCTCTTAAAGCCTCCTGCTGCTGCTTTAGGCACGTAGCATTAATTGCACGATGTGCTCACCCATTGTTCCTGGTTTCTTGCTGTTGTGCCTTTGCAAGCTTTGATGTGTTACTTTCCCATCCTTCTGGGGCCAGGAGAGCCTCAGCACAGCCAGGGAATTAGGAAAAAAACGTGGAAATTCACTTCTGTGTCAGGGAGGAACAGGGACTATCAGCATATCCCCTACTGCAGATACAATCTCATATCTTTAACTTATAAAAACATACGTAAGGTTTTTGTTTTTCATTACTATTATTGTGGAGCGCATAGCTCAAAGCTTACCTTGTCAGAATCCTTCAGCTAGTTTACAACCAAATAAGTGTTGGATTCAGGAGTACAAATTGGAAATAACTGCATGGAAACCACCAGAAGGCACTGGGACTAAACGAGTGGCAGCAGAGCTATGGTAAACTCCAAGCTTTTTAAGAGGAGTTGAAGGAAAGGAGGCTCCATGGGTCACAAACAAGTCTGGGGACATCACTGTTTCGTTTTATTAAATGCTTACTATAAAACAATTTGTAAAAAATCCATGGGAGACTGATAGGAGGAAAGGTTCATCAGAGGGAGCAGAAATTAAAGCAGCAGCACTGAAAGTGCTCTAAATACAGCTCCTCTCTAGACCCTGGGGAAGGAAGAAGGGTTGCAACGAGGCATTTATCACACACCTCACACATCACCAGAAGATTTAAAACATTTATTTATACAAATGTACAGCATTTACAATAGTTAAAAAAAAAAATTAGACCTTTAAAAAGAATATCACCTATCTAGCGCCTGACAATAAATATGGTGCAGCTCAGCAATAAATGCTCTAAGAGACCCCCGACGGGGGGAGAGTCATGTGCAGGGTCTCAGCTTCTTCTCCATCCCCTGGACCTGCTCTTTTCAGTCCCATTGTGTGCCAAAGCTGAGACAATTTGCCCCCACTTTAGCATATGAAGAAGGCCACCTTATCCTTCACTGACTGCAAAGGGAGCTGAAGTACCCAGCTTGCTCTAACACCTCTGTAGTGCTGATGTATGACCTGGATCAGTGGAGTCACAGCCTTTGTGGGCAGGGAGCACCACCAGGTACCCCAAAATGTCTCTGGTCTGCCCGAGGACAGAATGAAGGCAGCTTTCCACCAGATGCTCTGGGTAGTAGGTGGCTACGTGCCTCTTATCACGCAGCTGGCAGTGGCACACGTGTCACCTCCGTGGTGGCACCTCCTTGCGTGGTGGCAGTGCTCCTCCAGCTCCCTGGGAAGGAAAGTGCCCCTTGTGCAGCGTGGTCCACGTGGTTACAGGCAGCAGGTTTGGAGTCACCGTAGCACAGGATAGGTTAGGTTGGGAGAGTTAGGTTATGAATCCTGCTGCTGAACAGCCAGCACCTGCACAGGATGGGGCAAATACCACACACCACAACAGCTGAAGCACGTTCCCAACTTCAGCTCCAGTTCTGCAGGATAATAGTAATTAATAAATATTTAAATCTCAGCAGGAGAACTCGTCCCCTGTGTCCTCCTCCCAAGGCACACGCAGCAAGCAGCTCTGCCAGCACCCAGCTCTGCTCCCGAGAGCTGGCACAGGAGGGCACAGCAGGGCTGATTATTTTTTTCAGGGTCTCCAAGGTCGGTCTAACTGGCATAAAATAGCAGATTGCAACTACCCCCTTAACACTAGAGAGCTGTGAGCGAGTCACAGGAGCACTGAAAGGACTTCAAAATGCAAGGATTTGAGTGCCAGCAGCTAGGCTGGCCTCAAAAGATTAGTTTTATATGCAAAAGGTTAAAAAAAAGGAAGAACCAGTGCTCAAAGTTCAATTTTGACAATAATTATACATGGAAATTTTAAAAATACTTATCTCGCATCAAAATGCCCAAGTTACTTTGGAGCACGACTAGCCAAAATTAGCCCATCAAAGAAAAATTTATGATTATGGTGGTGTTTTTTTTTTTTAAATAAAGAAAAAATAATAATTGTTTAGCTTTAAAAGAAGTCCACAGACACCCTGTTTTTATAACTGACCTTGCAAAACAAAGTCGATTCTTTTTCAACAGTGATTCAAAACATTATATATATTTATTTATATATATATATATATTTATGATAATTTATATACTACAGGCTTACCCACTTGCAAAACAACCTTTTTTTTCCTGGCAATAACTGTGTTAAGTATTGTTTAGACACTTAAAGCCTGCTGAACATACAAAAATAAATATTGCATACACGATGTCCAGACAAAAGCAGAAGCACAGGTCACCAACACAGAGCTGCAGCCAGTGCTATCCCACACTCTGCAGTGGCAGCGTGTCCACAAAACGAGACAAACTGTTCAGGATCCAGCCTCTCTCACGCAGTAACCGTGTGTCCCCTTGTCCAGACTGCCCCTTGCAGCACATGGCTCGTTCCCCCTCCAAGGGGAGGAGAAGAGAGGGCAGGAGAGGAGATGGAGCCTGCAGAGGCAGAGCAGCTCTATGTGATTTACTGCCTGTTCTCAAAACGGGCTAACTGGAGCCATTGCTGCGCCAAATGATGAAAACGAGAAAGTTTCAGCTGAGGAAGTGGTGACAACAGGAGGTGGCAGCGATGGAGTACTTCTAAATAAAAAAAATAATCTTGGAGAAAGGACAGATATTTAGAAAAGTGGTATGCATCAGTCTAAGCCTTAATTCTGGACATGTTTTGCATGAGTTTCTTCAGAAAACAGTAAAGAAACGTGTTTTGTTTTGTTTTTTTTTACCCCCTTCAAATTCATCTACATACCAGGATCACCAGTTCACTGCTAACAAAAGTCAGTTTTTCAAAGACAGCTCCAGAAAACAGATCCTGAGCACGTGTGAGGAGGCTGCATCCTCATGCTTGTGTGCCACGTGGAGCAGCACAAGGCGATGCTACGACAGGAACCCCAACAAGAGGCACGCGGCTGTCAGCGTTACGGGACAGGAAAGTCCTTTTGTGCTGCTGAGGGGGGACAGGGTCGTGAACACGGCATCCGTTGTGTTCCTTGGGAGAGGCAAATTGCAGATGCTGCCTTCGCAGCAGGAAGTGCATACCTGAAAGAAAGGAGGTGTCAACTCGGTTATTTGGAAAATACCACTGCCACTGAGTAAAGACAGAGAGGAAATTGTGACATTTGCAAATCAGCACGGTCTCCATAATGATTTTTTGTTTGTTTGTTTCTTTCTTTTAAGCCCATCTACTTTGAGAACGATTCAAGCTCTTCCACCTGTGCAGGAACAATGCAGGGCGTTCTCTGCACTAGCCAATGAAGAGCTTATTTTTCTTTACTCCCTACTAAAAATAATAATAATAATAATAAATTCGATGGAAAAAGCAATGCTGTTTTGAAGAAGTGGAGCCAGAACTCAAAGAAATGGGCAACTATTCCCATCTTCTCAGATTTTTTTGTTGTTGCCTTCACCTTTTATGCAGGCACTGGGCTGAGACGCTTCTCGTGGCAGTCCACAAGCACTGCCCGCCTGCAGCTCTGCTCCCTGGGGACAGGAAAGCCCAGCTGCAATATTTTCCTGATGGAGAACATAGATTCAGAGCAAGAAGGCCACTAACGCACTGCACCAGAGGCCGAGAGCACCAAGATGAGTACGTGCAAAGCACAGAAGGGACTGCAGAGTCCCTGAACATCCAGAAAGCTTTTGATTTTAACCTGCTGGAGAAGTTTGGGAAGGTTGAATATCAACCTTCAGAAACATCTTTTATGCATAACCGTTCTGTTCAGACACAAACCTCTGCTGCTGAGGGCTGGGGGCTTTCCCCTGCCCGTGTCAGGCAGAAGGCCGGGGAGGGTCACGGAGCAGAGGCTGCAGCACCACGCAGAGCACTTCCCACTTCTCGGCAGAGGGGAGCGGTTTTCTCCTCTGAGCTGCTGCCAGGACACTTATTTACAGAGATTATGCTTTTGTTCTGGGAGAGGCTATTCCTTTGTCTCCCTAACAAATGGAAATGAGCTGGAGCTCGTTAAGAACAGAAACTCCATCTCTGACGAGGCTGAGTTACCCACCCAACCAGTCGGACTCCCGACAGGGGCCAGGCAGATTCTGCCCAGCATTTATACAAGGAAAAGGCAATTCTCCTCACCTTGTATTCCTCGTGCTTTACGTAGGTGCATCCAGTAGACAGACAGTCCTCCAGTGGCACACAGCGCTTGGTGACGGATACGCTTTCCCCGGTAACTTTCATCATGTGTTGGCTGAAGCAGTACCTCGTACCTAGAAAGCACAGAAAAATGTGTTTACCTGACAAATTCGAGGCTTTTGATAGTCTACGTGTAAGAAGAAACAGGAAAGAAACCTTAGCATTTCAAAGAAGAGAACATTGTTGTATTTATTTCAATACACAGATGTCACCAAATGCATACTGCAAGCTCTGACCCAAGCCCAAGACTTCAAAGCACCCTGGAACTCAAAGATTTGTTCCCAGCAGCAACGTGGGTCTGTACGTTACAGACAAACTAAAGCAACACACACATGTTGGAGAATCACAGTAACAGTTCTTGCTTCTCTGATGAATTCTCAGGGCCCAGATGGAACAAATAAAGCTTCTAGCAACCTGTAAGTCTTTCAAGGTGGTTTCTTTCTTGTTTCCAAGCATGTCTAGGTTAACAGATACCGTGTATTTTAGCAAATATAGTGAAACCATCTTGGAGATGTGTCTGTTCCCCTGCACAACGTGAGGCACAACGCCTAACCCACAGGTACTGCTCTGGGGTTGAGGACAGAGGGGGACCCCATGGGCACAACTCCTGTACATTTTTATTACCTAAAAGAACAGAAATTCAGAGCAATTCAACCAAGATATCACAGCATGAAAGGTGGTGCTCTTAAGCACCGTAGTACTGCAGGCAGCTTGCTCTAAAAAGGTGAGTCAGGTCCCAGACAGCCAGGCTAAATTTAAGCAAGCCAGCAGGGCTGGGATGTGCCCAGCGAGAGAAGTTTGCCCTTTCTGCTTTAAGCTGGGTACAGAAACACCAGACCTGGTACTCCATGTGGCCCAGAGCAGCACGTTGGCTTGTGGGAGCCAGCTTCCCAAACTGCCACAGCATTTTTGGCTGCTGCATTCGGTGGCTGGAGCATCAGCACTGCTGCAGGGGTGATCGCCCGTTGCACAAGTTGCTGGCCCACCTGCAGGATGTCCAAAGATAGAGGACTGGGAGCACTAAGTGCAGTATTCCCATACAAATCAGATCACTAACAGTTTCTGCTTGAGCTGAAGTTAATAAATGCCAGCAAACAAGGCTAATGCACAGCAGGAGGCCTGTCTTCTAGGAAGCGCTTCTCCCAGTCTCTGCTCAGTACAGGGATTCCTGCTTTAACTTTCCATTGTAATAAATTTTTGTCCTACCTAAAATGTGGTACCCCTCGTGTCCTACACGTGGTTTCAGGAGATAAGCAGCCCTCTGACCTGGAGCCTACAGGTAGCCCCAGGTTCGCAGCTCGCCCGTTCCCATCCCTAACATCCCTCAGCAAAGCAGGGTGTTCCCCTCCCCTGACAGCTATTAAGCACGAACTTCTCTTTCCAGATTAACAGTTTTTGGTCAAGTCAGTTCTGCTGGTTATTGCTAAACGCAGGCCTCGGAGTCACGCCTGTCTCCTTACACAAGCTACAGGCTTGTGTGCGGGTAACATCGTCATTAATCACCCCAAATACCACCTACTGTTGTCAAAACAGGGAGTGTCCGGGAATATTGGTCTCATCTGGTGCCAACCAGCCCGATCGTTTTATTATTGTTGATGTTGTACCAATTTGAGCTCTTTAAGCAAATAAATTCTCAAGCAGATAAAGCTCTCTGACACAGGCTGCAAACACAGCTGGTTAGTCTGGAATTCAAGCTACTGTCTTTTTTCTTTCCAAGATAAATATTGTTTGTGAGGACACTCGTAATATCCCCCAAGAGACCAGAGAGGTGCCAGATAGAGGCAGAGCAGTGGTGCTGAGCCTGTAGAAGGCACCAGCAGAGGGGTGACCCAGGCAGCATCCTGCTGACATGGGGACAGCTGTGTCCCCAGCACGGTTCCCAGGTCTTTGGTTGTGAAAGGGCTCTCTCAGGGGCTGGGGAAAACCTTAATGTCTCCTGAGGGTCTCAGCAAGGTGAGGGAGCTTGCTGATACCTGGTTGTTGGATACAGGCACCCAACGCCCTGAGACGTCCTCGCCTTCAGAGTGATGGGAGTTAATAACCCAAAGCACTGCAAAGATCTCGATGACAACCAAAAAGAGGCGGTTTCAGCTGCCCTGAGGTGTGTCAGTGAGGTGGGGCCTGGTGCCATAAGGGAGGGAACTGAACAAAGTAGTTCCCATACACACACCAGTAAAAGAAATACAACCCTTAAACAAACATCAGCCTGATTTAATGTGTAACCGAGCTGGAGGAGGACGGGGGGTGGATGAAAGTCCTAAACGTCACCCACTGCAATGGGACAGAAAAGCTTAAGGGATTATTTGTATCACTTACACGTCTTTCACCTAGAGGAGGCTCACAAACAGGAGCAGCGACCGCCGGCGTTGCAGTATGCAGAGGGAAGAACAGCTCAGCGCTGTCCCCGCGGCCGGGGCATCGAGCAGGTGGTGCAAGGTAGGGTAACACCAGCGTGTGGCTGCTTACCTCTTGGACAATAGACATCCGGAGCCCAGCGGTTGCATTCGTAATTATCTGCTGCCTTTTCGCAGGTGAAGCATTTAAATCCGTGAGGAAATGGCGTGGCTGAAAGGAATAAAGTATATTCAGTGAAAATGACCCAATTAATCCAGTTCTGCTTTTCAAAGACACACAGCAACATTCCTTCTTTTCGGATAAATCTTACTACCAATATAGCTGTCAACTTCGCCAGGAGCTGGTCCTGATTTGTAAGAGCCCTGCCACCACTAGCAGCATCAGGAGGGCACGTACGCCTGCAATAAGGACTCTGTTCGGCCGTGTTTACCCAGGAAAAATGCCTACTACCCACTTCAAAGGGTACTAATGAGAGCAAGGAGTGTTTGTTCTCTTGGTTTCAGAGCTCTCATCCAGTACTGTTACTCTACCAGTGCTGATAACATGGTATCAGATGGATTAAATGCTCCTGGACACTGTCCCACCGAGGAAATGAATGACCACTTTTGAAGGCAGGCTGATGTCCCCAAAGGGAAAAAATATCAATCTGCTGAACCTTCAGTCATTAACAGCAGCCTCCATCCTTGATTATCTCACCTAACGAAGAGCCCAGCTTCTTAAGTGGTCTCCTGGCAGGGTTTCTGTAGCACATTCAATACGTCTTCAAGACGCTGCCACCATCTCAGAAGCCAAATGGTGGCTGGGTCACATTTATCTTCACGAGGCAAAGCAAGCTGAGCCTCTGAAGCCTTGTGAGCCACGTCTCACTCCTCCTCACTGCCTTCCCTTGCCCACCCCTGGAGCACAGCGGTGTTGGCCGGACCCCGTTTGGGTACCAGAGGTGTCCTTTGCTATGCAGAAGGACTCGCTGCTTGTCAGCTGTCCTTTCCCCAGTCTCCTCAGGTGGGTTGCTGCTGCCCTAAAGGAATAGCCCGGGGTGGGACAAGGGTACAGCACTGATTAAACTCACCCGTCTCACTCTGGACAGTTAGCAGGTCATGGTTATGGGCGTAACTGTATAAGCATTTCATTTTGCCTGTGTAGAGTATAAAATTCCCAGCCAAATTCTGAAAGGATAAGTTTTCTCTGGGAACAGATGGCAGGCACAGCTCTGCTAGCACTCTCGTGGAATTAAATCGAAGCTTGTACGTGAACAAACCAACTATTAAAAGGACAGTCCATGGAAGACCTGAGGATGCCTAACACTGCTGTATCACTATTTCAGGCAGTCACGGAAATAAAGTTGTGAACAGTTTGTGCCACAGCTGCTCATGGCCACATTTGACTCTTGCTCAAAACTATCGGTGTGCCGGGTGGCTGAGGTGGCCAGAAACCCTTGAAGCAAAAAAAACACAGCAAACCAGGAGCCCTTGGGAAGCAAAGGTCCGTGCTTACTGGAGGGGTGGAGGTAGACGATGTCCTTCACCGTGAAGTCCCGGGGCTGTGCAGCCCTCAGCCAGCCGGCCACGAGGCCGAGCAGCAGGACGCGGGCCAGCCTGGGCTGCGAGGCCATCGCCCGCCGAGGCCGTGCTCATGCGGTGGCCCTGGGAGTGCGGCGGCGGGCAGAAAGCTCACCTAGGGACAGCAAAAGACAGAAGTGAGGAAATGGCGTGGACGGAGCGACCCCACCGTGCCAAAACCAGGCTGCTCCCACCAGCCCCCGGCCTGCAAGACAGGCTCAGGAGCCACCTGGACGTGGTCCTGCTGTAGGTGGCCCTGCTCGAGCAGGATGGATGGGCCCACTGGTTGGCCTGATGGACCCAGTGGTGCCTTCAGCCTCAGCCATCCTGCGATTACCTTGGCTCCTCTTCAGGACGTGGCCCTGCCCAGCCCTGCCCAGCACCAGGGGAAGCTGTGAAGGGCAGGCCTTCAGTGAGCCCAGGGGACGTTATTTATGTACTAATTACTTAATGTTATTTCATAAATCAAACATTTTTTTGGGGGGAGAGGAGATTCAGTGGCCATGAAACCTCCCACTGCTGCCTCCAGGCCTTCATCTGGTGGTGGAGGATTTGCTCCTCGCTCAAGGCCCGTGTGGGACCAGCAGCACAATGGCTACTGGGGGCCTGTCACTGGGCTTGGCTCCTCTCTGCAAACAGCCCCGTTATTAAAACACCATGAAATCCATAAAAATACTGACGGAAGCAGATAGCACTTAGTGCGGAGCGTTAACTGCTGTTGTTTTAACCTTTCAGAGGAGGAAATGCCCGTTTCCATCGGGTCTACTCCACAGATGTGCATCAGCCGGGGGAAAATGAAATCCTGATTAGAAACAGAAAGGAAATAAAACGAGCCTCTCCCAGCCACATGAAAGCAAAGAGAACGAGGACGGGTGGCTGCCTGTGTGGTCTCAGAAAGAGCCCCAGCGAAGCCAGCCGGAGCCCACCCCAGCAAGGCAGGGGGCTACCTGCCTGCATTTAGGGCTAGTTGTGTTTCTGAGCTCCTCGTGCCCAAATACACCCTGACCTGGAGCTAAATCACCACATGTCCTGATGGCTCTGAGCCGAAAGCAACGGGAGGAGATGGAGCATCAAGTGCACAAGCAATGGCATCAAGTGGGTACACTCCACTCTGCCTGGTTTTGCTTTCGGGGCACATATCTATGTGTAATACAAGTCACACACCACATAGCACAAGCAAACAAGCTGTGTTTAGGCTCCGTAGCTGAGTCCTCCCACATATAATACAAAAAACAATTTATTTGGTTTCCCCAGCATAGTCACAAAAGGTGTCTGTACCCATAGCACTGCTCAAAGTCTGCCAGTTGAGGACACCAGTTGCCCCTCCATCACACGAGCTCCTTATTTTCTGGCACCAGCTGCTTATTCAGCCAAATTTCCACATAGCTGTTGGAACTTGCCTAGCTGTCAGAACCAGGGGACAAGTGGTTGTTAGTCCTGTGTGAAAGGGAGGCAGAAATCCTCCAGCTGCACGCTAAAAATACCCCAGCCGTGCCTCTTGTAATCAAATAGCTTAATTGCCAGCACCACTTCCGAGGAGCTGCGAGAACCACAAATAAATAGAGAGAATTCATTTACCCACCTCCATTCTGCATGTTTGAAACAGATTTAATTATAGGAAAGGAATTTAAAAAAAATAAATAAATACAAAAATTCCTGAGGAGAAGAGTTGCTGAAGTTGATACTGGTTATTTAACAAAACACCTGCCACTGTTGCAGACACAGCAAGCATTTTATAGCGGGTTGTTACACAAATACACACACACATAGCGTGAACGGAGATACCCAGGAATAGATAGAAGTACCTGTTGTCATAAATCTGAATACTCAATATTTTACCAATACTTTGGGTACGTAGACATGGATAAAAGCTCTGTCCTTTGGGCAAAATGCACATACGAATATGCTACGTCTGGCTGAGGAAATGTTTGTTGATATTTAAGGTAATGCTGATATTTCATGGAGAGTGGAATACCAAAAATAATTTTAAATAAAATCAGTGGATCAGTAATTACTGCTCGCACTCATTCCCTCTGTTTTTACACACACATGAATAAAAATTATCATTTTCTTTTCATTTTTAAAGGAAAGATACGAGTCATTATGGATGCAACTCTTTTACTTAAAACCTGCAAACTTTGGACCCAAACCAGTTTTCAGTTACCCTTTCTTACCCTCTCTAAACTGATATTTTCTCTAGAAAGATGGCTTCTATTTGTAAAGCCTGCAAGCCTTAAGAGGTTTCTTATTAAGGACATGAAGACAGTTTCCCTCTCCAACAAGACCCTCTTAGTTCATGGCTTCCAGCCAAAAATCACCAAATGTTGTACAAAAATACTTTCCCAAATGGCTTTAGCTGCTGCACCAGCCATCGCTGAGCTGCCTCCTTGCTCTTCAGCGCACGGTGCCACATTTTTTCTGCCGAATTAACTCCGCTCCCCTCCAGATTTAGCAGCGTGCACGCAGCAGCCTAACAGCAAATGGCGAGGCCCGGTCTGAATTTGATACCGGGCCGTGGTTAGGGGAAATAGTCGCATGGCATTTAGATCATACAGTCTGTTTACAAAAGGCCCGGGGCACTGACACAGAAGCCCCAGTTAACTCAATCTTTCCAGCTTCAGCAGCACCTTTCAGACGGAAAGGCATCCTCGGCCCGCTCCGCAGCAGGATTACTTCTTCCTGCCCTCTGCCCTGACACGCCGCTGGGGAAATTACCCGCTGGATTCCCTAAGCAGCAGCCCGATGGCCCCGTGTGTCAGGTCTCATTAGGGAGGCGGCATGTCGGCCTCGCCGGCACCTCGCCGCAGACAATGGGAGGTCCCCGGCCCCAAAACCCAGTGCCAGGCCTCCAGCTCTGGGGCAGACGCGTTGTCGGAGGCAGCGGCTGATTGCGAGGACGTCTTTGTCCTCACAGGTTAGATATCCAGGTAGCTAGAGGTAGATATCTCCTAACTGGCCTCCACCAGAGGCCAGGAGCAGCAAGGCACTGCTGCAGCTCCTTATAAACACCAAATCTCCCCATACAAGTACTCAGGCATGAAGGAATCCCAGATTTGTGGGCATTTCTGGGGTTTTCCTCCATGGTCAGGTCCCCCCCAGGTGGGTGTCTGGTGCAGATGGAGGCTGCCTGGTCTTGCAGGAGGCTGATGCTTGGGATAACTTCTGCTGACATCTCGGCTCCACCTTCCTCCTACATCCCCTCCTTGCTCTCCAGGCCCCATCTCCAAATTTCTCTGATCTTACACTTATCTTTCCACGTGGAAGATCCTCCATCTCAGTGCCCTGAAGCAGCATTTTTGCCTCCAGATAAATAGAAAAGCAGGAGTAAATAAAAACTCCCTCTCAGCAGTGAGATGTGTCAGCCCCAAGGTACAAAGCCCAGCGTGCCAAAGCAGCAACATCTGCGAGAAATCACAAAAACCACAGCACAAGCACCACACGTGCAAGGGCAGCTGTGGCAACCCACACCACGCCGTGCTAGGACGATTATTTATGAGCAGTACACGAAGCAAAGGAGCTACATGCAGGGAGATGCTGGAAGATCTGCTCCTGGGTGCAGGCAAGTAATTAATCGCTCCTCGGGCACGTTACTTGAGTGACTTTCCAGCTCCTGCAAGAGTTATCTCTCCACTGCTCCAAAAACTAAACCCAAGCCTCTGTCCATGCAATGTTACCACTGTCCAAAGACAAACGTGAGCTGAAGCTTCAGCAGCCGTGTGGGATCCTGGGCAGCCATTCCAGAGGCTCTACTGGCTGTGGTCTTCCCACCACGCACAAGTCTGCACCAGCACCCCGGTTAAGCTTCTTTCCACCTGCATTTTAGAGATTTTCTTTCCAGTTCAGCTCTGGGAATGGCTGAATCCACACCAACCTCCTGATGCTCCGGGATGCAGCGAGGCGCACGCAACTTCTGCCTGAAGAACCCATAGGAGCTCTTGTGAAGAGTTCACCGCCTCTCCTCCATCCCAGTAAGCAAGAGTAATTAAACAATCAAACACAATTAGTGCTCAAATTACTCCCAGAAACATGGACAATCTAATCTCCTTGCTGCTAATTACAAAGCCTGCCGTTCATTGAGCTAAAAGCCCACGTCCTGGGGCAGTGCAGGGGGTGCAATATGTTCCCTCTCCCACCCTTTTCCCTGATGCAATCCCATCTTTAACGAGACACGGTGGCAAGACATCTTCGTTAGACGACCCTCACTGCTTCCACTTTCAGTCTGATAACAAGTCTGGCGTTTTCTTTGGACCTGTACAAACACCTGACCTAGGTGCAGTTCTTTTAATGAGCTGTAGTAAAACTTTGCTTATATTCACATATCCCCAGAGGATAGCTTGGCTTCATGTTAATGCGGAAGAAAACTGAAGTAGATACATTTTACTTGCATATTTCATACTCAGTATTAGGCACAGAAGGAAAAAAAAAAAAAAAAAAAAAAAGAATTAGATTAAAATTCAGGCAGGCCATAATCTTCATAAGAGAAAACGCAATTTATGGAAATTAAAATCTGTCAAACTGAGGAGGCGAGAAATGCAAAGTGAGACATAATTCACTCCCATTTCGCTCCGCCACATACACCACCCAGTGGCGCAGGGCCACAGCTATTTTATTTTTAATTAGATGTAATATTCAAGCCTGTGACTATCACCAGTCCTGAATTAGAAAGACAGGCAGGGAAGATCCAATAAATCACTGTGAGACCTATGCTGCATTTTTTTGCAGGGCATGCCACAGAGGCAGGAGGGGCAGCAGACCCTGAAATGAATGGATTTGGCCCAATTTGGGGTGGCCCCGCTGCTCTGTGATGGGTTACGGTGTGGGGACATCCGCTGCAGTGGTGGCAGCGAGCAGGGGCTGACCTCGACGCACGCGAGCCCCAGACAGCCCGGCTCCACACAGGCGGAGAAGGAAACCATGCATGAGCACAGAAATCCTGGGATTTTCCCACTAATAATAAAGGAAAGTGAGTGAGACAAGTGAAATAACAATGGCCAATAAAGTTTACAATATTAAGGCATTTTCTGAAGCATAATGAGACACACGAGAAGACCAAAATTTCTCTTAAGTCTGCAAAACGCAAATGATAAAATTATAAGAGGGGAAACCAAACCAAAG